CAGCAATAAACTCGAAAGATAATTCCCGCAAGCCACTTTGTAAGCAGCACACCATGGCTGAAAGAAGATTCAAGGGTCGTCCGTAAGCCAAAAGAACAGTGGGGTATAAAACCTCTACTGTAATAGCATCCACCGGTCTTGTGGGTACCACACAACGCTTCAACCAAAGGGTCAGAAAACCGGCGAACAAAGCCATGTCGGAGATTGGGACTTCTGCCTGATAATGGAAGCTCTCAAATGTGGTGAACGCTGGGAAAACATCCTCTTCTACCTCACAAGTGTAGTGAGAAGTTGCATCATTGATGCGTTCCGTGATCTCCTCGAGGGTAATGGCAGTTAAACGAGTCACCTCAGCCTCCTTGTCCCACAGGTTTCGGAAAAGATACTCCGCCCACTGTCCTTGTTTCACGCCGCTTGCTCTTTTCCCAGTAATTTACGCACATATTTGGAAATGGCACATCAATTCCCAGTAAGTGTCGTAGACTTCGGGAGCACCATTTTTCAGGATCTCTAATTCCCTGCTTCCGGGAACAAACTCCTCATAAGGCAATTCTCCAAAAGACAGTCCAGAAATTTCAAACATTTCGTGAAGAGCGAAGCCCAATTCACCAACTGGGGTGAAAAAAGTGCCGGTGTGAGGGTTGTAGAATTCCAACGTAGCGAAGAGTCCGCTGTAATTTGGAAAAATCCCATATCGAGTGGCCATTATTGGAACATTTAGCCCCGAAATCCTCAAAGGTTCTTCTAAGTCATCCAAGACGAAATTTATCATCCGGGCCCACCAGTCCGCATCACTGGAGTGAACCCAAGTAGGGGCCCTGAAATCCCGAGCAGGGAACTCTCATTTGACAGAAATAAACGTTCTAATGAACACCTCCGCCAATTTAGCAGGCTCTCCGACATGATGCTCTTTTTGGAATAAACCTGGCTTCAAAGCCAGAAAATTATTGAAACCAGCCGGATGTGTGCCCCGATGAGTGATGTGCCCCGTGGCAACACCTCCTTGGTCCTGAACGAGTTCCCAATTCATCGACCGCGGAATGGAAGCGCACTGATAATAAGAGATCGGCCACATCCGCTCCAAATTGGGAAGGAAAAGACGACGGTTGTTGACTACCTTCAGCCACTTGTAATTCCCCTCGGACAAGAAAAATTAGTCAAAAGAAGTCTAACTCAAGAATGCAGGGTTCAGACCTGCGTCCAGATCATTAAATGCAGAGTCTCAACCCACAGCTAAATTGTTGAACGCAAGGTTTAGACCTGCGTTCGGATTCTCGAACGAAGGGTCTCAACCCACATTTAAAATTTTGAACGTAAGGTTCAGACCTGCATTCGGAGTCTCGAACGCAGGGTCTCAACCTACATCCAAGATCTTAAACGCAGGGTCTGAACCTGCGTTGAAATTTTCTGAACGATCAGGGTCTCAACCTACATCCAAGATCTTAAACGCAGGGTCTGAACCTGCGTTGAAATTTTCTGAACGATGGAGCCAGCCATGCGTTTACTTAAAATTGACACGCAGGGTCTGAACCTGCGTTGAAATTTTCTGAACGATGGAGCCAGCCATGCGTTTACTTAAAATTGAGTACCAGTTCAGAATTATCTCTTGAGCTTAAATACAGATCGTTAATCAGAGGTTGGGGATGTGAGATCTGTCGAACCAACTTTCAATGGTTCAACCTTACCATTAGTTGAAGAAACCAGCGACGAAGGCGCGGGGATTTGATCGTCCCCAGAGGTTCTAGCTGAAGAAGCACCCTGAGCTTCGGCGATCTTCGATTTGGAAGCTATTTTCTTCTTCAGGCCCATGGCAACCGTGGCGAGGAAGACGAAGATGGGCGAACGAAATGTTTAGGAACGGATCTTTTCCTCCGTTGAAGTGCGGGAGAAGATGAACAGGAGCCCTGTTAAGAAATCGAATAGAAAGGGGAAAAGTCGAATGACTTTTTGATTTGACCTCAGTGACCCATTTTATACACAGCTATACCTGTCAAATCGAAGCGGGATTTTAGGCAAACCTCACCCGAAACGTGATTCTCGCGTTTTCAAAAAAGGGGGTTTTGATTTTCGAACGCACCCTCACGTTTAAACAGCAGAACGCATAATTTAGACATGCGTTCTGGTGACCAACCTCAGCCTATCACATAATTAACCCTTTTAAAGGGGTTAATATTCCAAGCAATAACCCCAGATAAGCTGATCGAGAAAGAAGATGAAGTAAATCCCTCCGAGGCCATCCTTCTAGGCTCGTGGCTCTCTCCGTCTATGGCAATAGATCTGTCTTAAGCCCAGAAATGTCCAACTCCCCTGAAGATGATGAAACTAGTCAAACTAGCTAAAGCCCAAGTCATTACGGATGAACCAAAAGAGAATGAAGAAGTCAACAAGATGCTCCACTCCATCTGCGATAAGATACATTTGATCAACAAAATTTTTGGGTTCCAAAGTGTTTCGAAAATTCGTCCCATTCAACCGCGAACTCTCGAAAACTTTGGAGGGGGTTCTGTAGGCTGTCTAAAAATAATAAAAGATAGCTGATTCCCCATCAAACACCGATGATGGAAGTTACAATCTGACGACTTCCAGAAGGCTATCTTTAGCAACACTCTGACAGAAAGAGATTACAAATCGACGATTTCTTCAAACCAAGACGTGGAAGTTCTCCCTACGTACCATCTTCAAGACACAACACCAATTTGATTACCTATGCAGCTTCAACCGCTGCAAACAAAAATACAGCTGCTTATGTGAGATGATTGATCTCGATGGCTGCGATAACAACATGACTAATATTATATTAGCAACTATTAGAGATGCTGATGAGCAGTGTAATGATATTCGACACACTGAGGAGCACATGGTTAAACCATGCAAAGAAATCTTAGTGGAGATCGTGACCTGCAGTTGATAGAGCGTTGTTGAGATGCCTCAATTGTCACAAATGGCCTGAATAAGACCTTCTTTACTGGTCATTGGTGTCATCCATATATAAAGACAGAGAAGCTCGAACGCAGCTCTAACCGCCACCGAACGCAGCTCCATCGCTGTCAACGCAGCTCATCAACCGCTGCCAAACGCAGCTCCATCGTTGCCCAACGCAGCTTATCAACCGCTGCCAAATGCAGCTTATCAACCGCTGCCAAACGCAGCTCCATCGCTGCCCAACGCAGCTTACCAACCGCTGCCAAACGCAGCTCACCAATCGCTGCCAACACAGCTCTATCGCTGCACGACGCAGCTCGTCACAGCAGCTCTTTCCAATCACCGCCAGAACGCAAGTCAAGGTTCTGACTCATTCAAACGTGATCGTAACAACTTCGAAGCTGTTCTCTACCCACGATATAGGGAGTGGTTTACGTGGGTTGTTACACCCGATTAATGGGGTAACTAAACCCCCATTTAGGCGCGGATTATGGGGGCAGTTACACCCCTAATCCCCCTATAAATATCAACAAACTCAACAGAGTTAGGGGGGAGGGGATTTTTGATAATCAGATCGAGGGACGAGACATCATTGGAGATCAGATTTTCTGGAGAGGATCTTAGAGAGAGAGTTGGAGAATTAACTCTTTATACAGTCTGGGGAATCAACATCCATTGAGGAATCCAGACGTTAGATACTTGGTTTATTAACCGAATCATTTTCGGTTCAAACAACTCTTTTTATCAGAGTTTGTTACTCGTTCTGAATCACGAAACTCGTCAAGAGTTATCAACCAGACTAGACCGTTGTTCCAGTGAGTATAGATAGTCGGATCGTCAACGAGAAGCAAACTCGACGCGAGCACTCGAGGGAGGCATCTCATCGCTACCAAGAAGAACCCAGAATTAAACAAAGGAGAGAATCCAGATCATTCTCTTCTCTTTTGTAATCAGGAAATCCAATTGTAACTGAGATTAAAGGAATACAAATCAATTTTCCTTCGTTTCTTTTACTGCAAATTTTTCCACAAACAATCGCATAGTGCCATTTATTACCCTTTAAGTTTGATATTGATAGATACACCCCTTGAGTGGAAAGTTTTTGGCTCTTTTACTCTCAGCGGCGCCTATTTCTCACAAAAAAAAAAGTGGGCATGCCCTAAGGGTAAAAGTATATTTTTAGAATTCTTTACCTTTTCCAGTCCTATCAAATGCAGAAATGGGAAGGACCAGCAAATTTTATTCCTTATTATCCATGTTGGGTGCTTTGTCAATAACCTGGTAGTCAAGCTATATGTTGTCCTGGAATTAGATGTGGTTGTTTCTAGTTTATGATGACACATTTTTTCGTAACAATCAGGAAGCTTGCTTTCGTTTGGTTCCTGAAGATCTAAACCTAAACATTATCAGTCATCTGATTAAAGTCCTCTTATGACGATTTCTTATTTATGTATAAAAAACAATGGTAAATAAATGGTTTAAAAAAAACGTGATGACGTTCAGTATAAAAATTGAACCGTACAGGACTAGGAGCATATTTGATCCGTGGAACATTTATTGTGTTGGTCTGTTCATATTTAGAGTAAAGGGTTAATTGCATGTAGACCCCATCAGTATTTCATTGTGCCGCTTACACGGGTAAAAGTTTTGGATATCGGGCAGATGCGCACCACCCAAGCGGATTTTTTTTGACTCTTTTACTCTCAGGGGTCTATTTGCCTGAAAAACAAAATTAGGCCTCTCATAAGAGTTTTTAAAAAGAAAAACAGAGGTTGTATTGCCAATATCAAGCTTAAGGGGTAATAAGTGTCACGACGCTATACTACAAGAATGTCTGTGCAGTTAAACCCTAGATTAAAATTTGAACATTATTTTATATAAAGATTGATAAAGTTTGAGCTCGTTTTAGGCCACTATTTGGAGATCATCTTGATTATGTATCTCCCTTCATTCCCATCTTTCTCTATGCACACATGAAGAGTGCAAGAAGGGAATTATTCTCATGAATCAGTTAGTTCGTATTCTACATGTTTGAGGTTGTTTGCTAATTGATTTTGCACTTCTGGGTGTGATTGCAGTCATTTCACTACTGCAAGTACAGATGGGATGAAAACCAACTTTACATATTCGCACACGATTATGTTCCCAGGTGGCTAACAGCATCATATCATATAGATTTTGACACAATGGCTGGGGCAGACAAGTTTGGGAATTTTTATTTTGTACGACGGCCACAGGGTGTCTCGGATGAGATTGAAGAAGACCCAACTGGTGGGAAGATAAAGTGGGAACAAGGGAAGTTGAATGGCGCTCCCAACAAGGTGGAGGAGATTGTTCAGTTCCATGTTGGCGATGTTGTCACGGCCTTGCAGAAGGCCTTATTGATACCTGGGGGTGGTGAGTGCATCATTTATGGCACTGTTATGTGCAGCTTAGGGGCATTACTTGCATTCACCTCTAGAGAAGATGTTGATTTCTTCTCTCATTTGGAGATGCACGTGAGGCAGGAACATCCACCATTATGTGGCAGGGATCACATGGCTTACAGATCCGCATATTTCCCAGTTAGGGTATGTTTTATTGGCACTTGTACCACTCATCCATTACTCATGCTGCTTGATGAACACATACATTTTTTTTTTCAATAGCATTACGGCTTTGGTTGCCTGCTGTTTAATTTTTCAAGATGAGTCTGCTTCTTCTGATCTCTCTTACTTTTCAGTACATGTCCAGTAAAAGTAGTCTGACTTTCTCTTCTTTATTTTTCTTTCTAATAGTGGGGGACATCAAAAAAAGAGATTGTGCTTTTGGCCTTCAAAGATCTAACTCTAGGGTCAACTTTAGAAAAAAATTGGTTAGTTCTCTGGTGCTAGAGGGTGGCCATCTTTGTTGAACCTTCATTGTTTCACACATCTCCATCTTAATACTCACTAGCATCATAATATAGACTGAAGATAATCAGAAATTATAAGCCTAAGACTAAGGTGGTTCTTGTCCTAATCTCGGTCCTTTTTAATCTAGTGCCATGTAACTAAGTATAAACTGTGTTAAACAATAAATTGGACCTTCTTTCTCTCTTTATATTTTGATGTTATGATCTTTAAATTGAAGTCTATAATAGTTTTTTATGAAAAATTGATGAACCGTCTGGTGCTTGCTTTTGCAACCAACTTTTCTGATAATAGTTTGTTTCATGCACTTGGTTTTCTCATTACACAATAATATGTTGCCTATTCTGTTATCAGAAAGGTGAAATGTCTTACATAAATATATTCATGGAAGCATAATGGAAAAGATATTATCCGTTAGTTTTTTATTAGCTAGATAGAAACATGAATAAGCATAGGGATTGGGATGCGTTGAATATTAAATGCCATGTTGGAGGTACAAAGTTATGAACCTGCTCTGATCATGCTCTCCTCCATCATAATAGAAGTGCATGAACTTATGTGGATCCCATCAGTGTTTGGGCTCGTGCCTGGTGCAATCAATTGCACACGAGGTGCTTAAACTAAAGAACAAGTAGTGAAAGTTAAATGCATCTGTTGACTTATTGATCAGTGTTAAATCATGGACTCTTAAGACGCTTGATTCTGTGAAAAGTTACTGCCGGGCGCCATGACAATTTCTGTACTTTCAGAGGGAAATTGAGGTGAACTTGTGAATGAGGCTTACCCCCCAACTTCCAAGCAAAACTTGTGAGTTGGGTTAACAAATATCTGTAATTTCGGAGGAAAACTGAGGTGAACTTGTGAATGAGACTTACCCAGGCAAAACTTATGAGTTGAATTACCAATCATAGGGGAATGTGGACATGGTAGGGTTAATTCAGAAACCCTGTTAACTTCGGAGGGTTTGCAGGTAACTCCCTTAACTATTTTAATTCAACCCATGAACTCTGACGGGTTCCGTGTATAACCCTCCCTGAACCTCTTTTATCCAATAAACCAGCACTAACATGATCTTTATATGGGTGGAACTACTGTTTCTCACAATGATGTGTTGTATTTGCCTGCAGGATGTGATTGATGGTGATCTGTGTGAGCAATTCCCTACATTACCTCCTGATTTGCAGAGGAAGATTGCTGATGAATTGGATAGAACTCCGGGGGAGATTCTGAAGAAGTTGGAGGATGCTAGAAATAAGATCATCTGAGAAGCTGAGAGCAAATCATACCGTATTGATGTGCAAGCAAACAGGGAAAGGATATCTCCGGAAGCCTGCCTTCGTAACAAGTGAAGCTTTTTTGGTGTCAGTGGGTTCCAGTTTTCTTGGACAGCTACAGAATGACCACCTAATAATTATCAGATGAAAATGCATGTACCAGCAAAGTTATCTTTGGACATGTTTCCCTCCATCTTCTGATCTTTCCTCTGTTTGAGTAGCATCTGGAGTTAAAGGCCTTCAAGTGGATTTTGTATGCTGTCTATTTCCTAACGATATAGTCGTTTGTTTCTAACTAGTTGGGTTCCTTCTGAAATTGATTCTTCCAGAACTGATAAATTGTTTAACCGTTTGTGGGAAACGAACCGCTAGGATTGTCTCGTTTTAAGGTGGTGCTATGCCCTTTTGTGTCCATTGTTCTGGTATGGCTCTCACGTTCGATACCGGACGTCACGCCACGTGGTTATTTAGCAGTCGAGACAGCCACCAATATTGGGCACTTAGGGGCTGTTTGGTTGTTGTTGGTAAAATTGTGTATTTATGACACAACTTGGAAAGTTGTTGTCCACCTCATTAATTTTACTTTTATACTTTTCTTTGTTTGTTTTTGATTCCATTGGAATCATAAATTGCTTGTTTGATTTGTAAATGTAACTTTAATTGTTTGTTTGGAAAGTGTAAAAAGTGGTCCATACTTAAATGATCATATTGGTTGGAATTATTTTTTATTATTTTTTATTATTTTTTCCTGATTTCAATGTCAGCTTTCTCCTAAAATCATGTCTTTTTTTATGAAGTCACTTTACAAGCCACATCAGCATATGAAATCACTTTATACTATTTTCACAACTACAAACAAACAACTGAAAGTGATGAAAGCTGACATTGGGACCCATTTTTTTACACTTTTCATCCTTTTACATGGTAAAAACATACAACCAAACAGCCCTTTAAACTCTTTCAAATTTTAAATTAGCCCCTCAAATTACAATTGCTATTAGGTCCCTCACATCTTATTAATTACTTCACATTAGGCCTTGCCAATGGCTGTGCCATCTTAATTGCCTACTATTAGTCGTTAACCACACATGGTAAATTACATTTATAGTTTCAATTATGACATGTTTGGGAGTTCACTTAGGGTCTGTTTGTTTCATTTTTCCTAGAATCCAAAACCCATTTTCCTTCACTTTTTCACTTTCCCCACTTTCTTTAACCCACTTTCCTTCACTTTCTCAACTTTCCCCCAATAATATTGTGACAACTCATCTCATCACATCTCATTTCTTACTTTTAAAAATAAACTAAACACAAGAAATGAGTCACATCAATCAACTCATCTAACTCACCTCATCCAACTTTCCTTCATTTTCTACCATCTTTAAAAATTACTCACATCATCCAATAATATAGTGACAACTCATCACATCTCATTAAAATTTCCTTATATCCCTTTCCTCCAAAAAAACAAGGAAATTGATTTTTCTAAGTATGGGTCACATCATCCAATAATATAATGACAACTCATTTTCTCTCATTTATTTTCTTAGTTTTAAGAATGAACCAAACACAAGAAAGAACAAAAAATAAAGAAAATGGAGGAAAACATCAAAAATTACTCATCTCATCCAATAATATGGTGACAACTCATTTTCTCCCTCACTTTCTTTCCGAATTTTGACGAACCAAACATCAAAAAATAGAGAAAAATATCAAAATTCATTTTCTCTCCCCCACTTTCTGTAATTTTTCACGAAACAAACAAGCCCTATTTTACCCTCGTAAATAGAAGGAAAGAGAAATTCATTACCCCCAATTTGAGATGTACCATTTTGGCACAAATTCACCCCTCTATTCCCCTTTTTTTACCGTTGTAAATACAACTCCTAAACAATATTAAAATTACATTTCTCCACCTCTCTACCCTCCATCCAAAGATGCCATTAGTTGTTCCCTCTCTCAAATCCCAAATTAAAAAAAAATATATATATATAAAAATAAAAAAAGAAAAACCGCCTTCGTATCGATCTCGTCAACGCGACCCGTTGATGATTTCATATCTGGATGCCTCTCGCTTTCTGGTTCTCGGCTGTTATTCATTAGATTTCCCAAACCCTAAAGCATTCATTTCCGTTTCGACCCATTCATCTAGCAAGAACCTCCTCCTCTTTCCTCAATCCAATTTGCTTTTAGCTCCTTCAATTATTGATTGATTGGTGCAAAGGACGAATAGGGGGAGAAATAAAACGGCCATAGAAAGAAATAGATGATGAGAAAGGAGGAGGATTTGGTTTTCTTTTGAACGCGGAAAAGATAATAGAAGTGGGGATGAATCTGAGGGCGCATGCTGTACAACAAAATATTCAGGCCGAATGTGAAGACGAACAGGTGATCATCTTTTTGTCCCTACATATCCTCTCTCTCTCTCTCTCGAATGGTTTCGATTGATTTTTTTCTCATGTAAATTATAAGAGTCGCCTTTGAATTTGGGTAACTTGGTTTTCTGAATTCCTTCGCACTTTGATAATATGCAACCCTATCAATCCTACGAAATTCCTGATTAAGAACTGGAAGGAACTTTTGCGAAAAGCTATCCAAAGACTATGGGAATGTGATGCTAACATCACCCCAGTTATGTCACTACCATCATCATCATCAATCATGTAAGACTTTTCCACTCAAAAAAAAAAAAAAAAAAAAAAAAAAAAAAAAAAAAAAAAAAAAAAATCAAAAAAAAAAAAAAAAAAAAAAAAGAAAAGAAAAAAGAAAAAAAAGAGAGCCAGCTCTTTGGAGCAAGCCGCTTGTTTTCAACCCTCTGTTAGTGCCAAAAATATTTGGCTTGGAAACTATGTGCAAAAAGGACTTGTCATGAAGCTAGAACAACAATATATTCAAATTATTCTAAACAGAAAGACAGTCTAGAAGAAGAAAAAAAAAAAAAAAAAAAAAAAAAGAAAAGAAAAAAGAAAAAAAAGAGAGCCAGCTCTTTGGAGCAAGCCGCTTGTTTTCAACCCTCTGTTAGTGCCAAAAATATTTGGCTTGGAAACTATGTGCAAAAAGGACTTGTCATGAAGCTAGAACAACAATATATTCAAATTATTCTAAACAGAAAGACAGTCTAGAAGAAGAGGAGGTGCGAGACGATTTCTTCTTGAAACTACAATTAACTCTGCAAGATGGTAGATCACGGGCGCTCTTGTCATCATTTTGATTACCTGTTTTTTCATCAGATGGTAGATGGACCCTCTTCATATACTGTTGATGAAGCACTCTTGTCCATGGGCTTCGGTTACTTTCAAGCCCTTGTTCTTGCTTATGCTGGTATGGGTTGGATTTCAGAGGCAATGGAAGTAATGCTTCTCTCATTTGTTGGGCCAGCTGTTCAAATTGAGTGGAAGCTTTCTTCTCATGATGAGAGCATGATCTCAAGCGTCGTTTTTGCTGGCATGCTAATTGGAGCCTCATCTTGCGGCATAGTCTCAGACGCTTATGGTAGGAAGTAAGTCATTTTCCAACTTCTTCAAGTAGCGCTCACCAACTATAGGTTTTGTCTGCTTATTAAATTCTCTGTCTTTGCATTCCAAGCACCTTTTAGTTTGTTTTGTCAAAATTGATTCAGTTTTGTCTGCTTATTAGCATTCTTGTCTTTGCATTCCGAGCACCTTTTAGTTTGTTTTGTCAAAATTGATTCTTCTGTGGTGCTGTAGTGCTGTACTCAGTCAAAGCAGTCAATACAACTCTTTAATGAGATAAAACTTGTATGGAAAAAGGTGTTTGATAGAGATCATTCAAATACATTCTACTACTTGTTATTCCAAAATTTGTAAACGTGCCAACATTTGAGTAGGCTTTGTCGCATGTTAATTCATCTTATTAAAAAGTTTTTTTATAGTAGTTTGTGTATTTCATAGAATATCTTTCTCCTGACATTTGTGTGCCCTGGCCCCTTTGACTTCTTCAGGAAGGGATTCCTCTTTACAGCTATTGCTACCAGTGTGGCCGGTTTGCTTAGTGCATTCTCTCCCAACTACATTTCTTTAATTATTCTTCGTTTTGTGGTCGGCATTGGACTTGGAGGGGGACCTGTTGTTGCTTCATGGTTTCTGGAGTTCATTCCTGCACCAAATAGAGGTACATGGATGGTAGTCTTTTCAGGTTTTTGGACTGTTGGCACAATCTTGGAGGCTTTGCTTGCATGGGTATAGCTGATACGTTTCCACTCTGGTTTCTCTTATATAATCTATGTTGTTTCCTTTAGTCGTATCTGTAGTGTTAGTAGAAAACTTACATCTGTACTACTTGTAGCTGATAATATTGCCAGCCTACTCCACCTGTGTCGTGCTTCTTTGACATTGCTGCTCTCAGTTGAGGACATAATAAGGACATAATAAATTGACCCTAGAGGCTAGCAACAGATTAAATGTAGTTGTTAAAGTAAGAGAGAGAGAGTCTTAGGTAAATTTTCCTTGAGTTGAATATTGAGTGTGCACATATATTTATACAAGTAGAGGAGGGTGAGGTGTGTTCTCACAACCAATGTGGGAATAAAACCCAATATAATACACTATTATCAACAGCCCCCCTCAAATTCATGTTGGATCAAACAAAGTGAGTTTGCATACAAGAAACTGGAACCGATGAATAGGTAAGAACTTTGTGAAGAAATCTGCAAGCTCGTCAGCGAATGAGACATAAGGAGGTAGAATTGTCTTGTCCTTGATAACTTGTTGACGGACAAAATGAGCTTCGATCTTAATATGTTTAGTCCTTTCATGAAATATTGGATTATTAGCAATCTAGATGTCAGTCTTATTATCACAGTAGAGAGGAGTAGGAGTCGTAACAGAAATACCGAAATCACTGAGAAAGCGATGAAGATGAATAATCTCTTTAGCTGTTGTGGATATTGCACGATACTCTGCATCGGTAGTGGAAAGAACAATAACATCTTGTTTCTTACTCCGCCAGAAAATAAGAAAATCACCAAGAAATATATAATAAACTGTGGTAGACTTTCTAGTAGTGGGATCACCAGTCCAATCAGTATCAGAATATGCACAAAGCTCTAACTTAGATGTAGCAGAAAACATAAGAGAGCGAGTGCTAGTACCCCGGAGATACCGAAGAATCCGTAATAAGGCAACATAGTATACAGAACGCGGGGTACTAACAAATTGACTGATAATGTCAACATCATGAGAGATATCTGATCGAGAGACGCACAGATAGACCAACTGGCCAACAAGATGTCGATATCAGGTAGGATCAGATAGAGGCTCACCATCAGTAGAGCAAAGTCTGACATTCTGTTATAGTGAAGTATCGACAGTTGCATCGTCAGTTAGCTCAACTCAATCTAAAATATCCGAGAGATACTTTTGTTGAGACAGTAGTATACCCCGTGGGTCTTGAGAAATTTCTAGACCAAGAAAATACCAAAGAGATTGAAGATCCTTCATGTGGAACTGTTGTTGCAATTGAGATTTTGCGTACTGTATACCAGCCACATCATCACCTGTAATGATCATATCATCTACATAGATGAGTAATAAAACTCTTCCACGCGATATAGTGCGAACAAATAGAGAAGCATCTTGATGACTTTCTATAAAGCCCACCTTGAGCACAACATCGCGAAAACACTCAATTTAGCTTGTGGGAGTAGAGAGGATTTGACTGGTTAGGATCAATTTAGCTGCACTAAATAAGATCTGCTTCAAGAGTGTAGTTGTAAATAAGAATTTTTCAAGACCTGTCTGAATTATTAAACACTACCTTGTACTATCATCTATGCAAAGCTGTCAGATTTTTGAATAATCTATTTCCTCAATAATCTTAAAAAAAAAAAAATCAAAAGTGTTGCATTCTTTTAAATGTTTTTTCATTGAGTTCTCTTTGTGGGGATAGGATAGCACAGTAGGGGTGGCAAATAGGCTGGTTGGGTTTTGATTTGGTCAATTTTGACCCGGCCCATATGAGCTTGACACTAACTGGTTCCGTTTAATAAACATGTCAAGAATCAACCTGTTTATTTAACAGGTTACCCCTATCTGACCTGAATGACGGGCGATTTGTATACTTGTCTCTACATAAATTTTACTGGGAATCGGTCTTCACTAATAATGAGTTGGAACTGCGAGATCTAGATAGAATACATGAGAACTTTGTTAATGAATCTTCACAGGAAACACTGATCTTAATATTATATCATGATTTGGTATCTAAGTGGCTAGGCCACTGTACTTATGAATTTCATGGTCTTGGTTCGTTTAGTAATTTGTTCTCTCTTTGGAAACTTCAAAGTTTGTGATTATCGGGTTCTTACAAAACAAAAGTTTGCGGGGCCCTTGTCTTGGATGAGTGATCTTTATGCTCTCAGTTGGGTGCTGGGCAATCACATTCAGTCATGTATGTAAAATTTTGAAATTCTTTGTTGAGGTGGTTGATATAAGATTTGATTTGTTTGAGGGGTTAAGGGAAATGTGAGGTGTGAGAATGGAGAGGGGACACAATGGGAGTGGGGTGACAAGCGGAAGGGGGAAGGAGCTGCACAGACTACTGGTTGTGTACCTTTCTTTCTGTGGGTTGAGGAGGTTGGTGAAGTTGATGGAGGGAAACGAATGCAATGGGTTGCGGAGGGTTACGTGTGATTAAATGGGTTAAATGGCTCATACGGACCCAATTTAACCGAATTAATAAAGGGCTAGTTTGGGTCAACTTGTATATGACCCAAATTAACCCAATTAATTATGTGTGAGAAGTGTTAGAAACACGCTCAAGGAGCATTCAAGGTAGTTTCAGCATTCGACACAGGTGTATCGTGTCTGATGCAAGTATGGCTTTATTATGCAATAACCCATGTTACATAGCTATCATGTCATTCATGGTAGCATAATTCACAAACAAAGTTAGATGTTAACATGAATGGCTGCAATCTTTTACGGATTTTTTTAAATTATGTTTTGGTAAAGTAAAATTTGTATTTTAGTTGTAAATGTCAATATATAAAATGCCTGAAACAATAACATCACGGTTTTCAGATATTCGTCAATTGAATTTAATTTCAAGTAAGACTAGTAGGTTTATTTAATCCCTCAAGTTTCTTGAACAACACATTAGATTTACATCCAGGGGTAGGTTAATTATTGCTTTCATTATACCTTTTCCTTGTTGTCTGTAATTGAGATCTCGGGACATCAATTGTGGCAATGGTAGGGTAAGGCTAGGGTAAAGAGCTTGCCCTTCCCCTTGCCCTACCCTAAATAGGTCACCCTTCCCTTTGCCCCTACCCTAAATAGGCTTTACCCTTAGGGCCTGTTTGGTTGATTTCCTAAAATCAAAGAAAAGGAAATAGGATAAGGAAACCATTAAAAGTTGATTTCCATCCATTTCCTTAAAAAAGTCATGAAATGAGTTTTCTTAAAAATGAGTCACATCATCCAATAAAATGGTGACAACTCATCTCATCTTATCTCTTTTCTTAGTTTTAAGGAGTGAACCAAACACAAGAAAAGAACCTATTATAGGAAATATGTTTCTTATAATTGATTTCCTTATTTTTTTAGCTAACCAAACAGCCCCTACCTCATGGGTAATTTGTGGACCCTACCCTACTGGAATTAGGGAGAAAATTACTTTACTTTGTAGTATATTACAGAATTACTCAAATAAAGATAGTGAAGAGTTTATAAATAGGCTTCTCCAAGAAAATCCCCAAACATAATTCTTTTAAAGTTGAACTAATACCAGAAATAACACAAGAAGATTCATGAAAGAGTTACCTAAGATAAGTTATTAAATATCCATGAGTTAGTTATGATGATGATGATTAGACTCAAGATAATTTTCAGTTTATAGACCTTTGTATTGAAGATTCATTCTTCTGCCTGATTTTTGCAGGCTGTTATGCCAACTTTGGGTTGGAGGTGGCTACTAGGATTGTCTTCATTGCCATCATTTCTTATGCTATTATTTTATGGTGTTACTCCTGAGTCACCTAGGTATCTCTGTATGAAAGGCTTTAAATCTGATGCGATGCACATTTTAGAGCAGATGGCCAAAGTTAACAGTGTGGCTCTCCCATCTGGCGTACTTATTTCCGATTGTAATGTTGAGCTGGAAGAAAGTCCTGATCCATCTGAAGGAATACGCTTAATTACAGTTCCCGATCCATCTGAAGGAACACACTTAGTTACAGTTTCCAACCAAAATATCACCACTGACAAGGAAACCCAGGTTGGAGCCATCGGTATATTGTTTAGGCTTCTTTCCCCAAAATTTATCAAATCAACCCTTCTTCTGTGGATGGTTTTCTTTGGTAATGCATTTTCGTATTATGGGGTGGTCTTGCTAACTTCTGCATTGAGTAATCGGAACACTGATTGCACATCGAAGTTGTATTCAGACCATTCAGGGGTCCTATATAAAGATGTATTTATCACTAGTTTAGCCGGTAAAGTCTGAGAGAACACACATGTTTTCGTTTTATATATGCAAGTTTCAAGCAGTGCTCTTCAAAGGATTGCATTCATACTTCTCTTTTTTTTCAGAGATTCCTGGGCTTATTTTATCAGCTGCGATTGTAGATAGAGTTGGTCGAAAGATGTCAATGGCAACTATGCTTTTCATTAGTTGCATTTTCTTGGTCCCGCTTCTATTTCATCAGAAAGAAGTATTGACAACAGCACTTCTGTTCGGTGCTCGGATGTGCATTTCAGGAAGCTTCACTATTGTCTATATATATGCTCCAGAGGTCAGTATGAGATTTCTAATACATCTTTATATTGGTGTAATGTACAGTTCTAAAATTCGCCACTTAGCAATTCCCCAAAATGCGGAATGTTCCTACTTGCTTTATTTGAAGGAATTTAAATTATTTTTTGAAATTTTAACAACCTTGGGTACTAAGAAAATCTGATAAATCCTCGAAAACAGCAACATGTCCCTATGCCAATACTTGAAAAAGGGATGCTGGTAGGGATAACACTATATTAAACCTTCAACCGAGCATGTAAATATCCACTTTAAATGTCATAGAGTTTAGTGAGGGATAGGGGGAATGATCTTAACATCACGAAAAGGATATTTTTATTTCTAGGACACATTAACATCTCAACACATCAGGGAAATATTACTTTAGTTACATGGACTTGTTTCAGATTCTAAAAAACATGCTTCTCATTGATGATTGATGTCCTACAGAGAAACATATGGGTCGCTGGTCTTTAATAAAAAGAAAATTTAGCTAGAGATCCTCAAACAAACTGATTACTTTGCTAAAGAAATCTTTGAAGAATAGTTAAATTGATTTTCAAGATTAGAGGCTTCTAAGTACAAAACGATGAAATAACACTATCTAATTTTATCTATTTTCCTGAATGTATATGCTGAACAATATCATATTATGTTTAAATATACCGATCATTTTGTATATTATACATAATTCTCACCTCATATACATGCAATTGCATATATTTATGTACATGATAAATATGGTAATGAGCATTCTAATGTTCTTAGCATCAGGCATTATGATCTCAATTTCGATGATGACTTAAACTTTTCCCTTGCCAATTTTTGTTGCGGAAAAGGAAGAATCGTCTTAATATTGATTAGCTTTTACCAACGTATATGATATTTGAATTTTCTAGCAT